TACGTCATTACTATGGTTAAAACAAAAACAAATTTACACAGGTAATCTAACAATGTCTAGCTACCGTGTTACCTGATTCAAAATTCAAATATCTACCAACAAACAGCACACAATACAAAAAAACTTTGGTATACCTATATTCAACAATAATCTACCTTTTTTATTAATTATAATACAATATATTAGTAAGTTTATGGGAAACATAAAATAAATAATTAATAGGTGGTAATATGATAAATTATAAATATAGAGCAAAAACTGAATACTTTTCTATTAGTTCAGCATATACTACTTTATAAAGCAACTATTATAACTTCTTGAAATATTAGTCAACTAATAGAGCTGCAGTAAAGGTTTATAGATTTTCAAGTTAAATCTATATTAGAATAGAAGAACAAGAACTATTATTACTTAAATAAAAATATCCATGCATAGTACTGAATTATATAAACTAATATTATTATACATACACCCATTACAATAGTTGAATACAACACCCTTACTGTTGACTACGCCATTTGTTTCTGCATAACGAAATATGTGATAATAATATTTATACTGTAAATAATTTTTAATAATTGATTTTGTTATATATTTTTAGTTTTAGATATGAAATTTCATATATTATTTTAATAAGTACACAAGCATAACATTGTAAATAAACTTAATCCCAACAGAAAACTTTAATAACAATAGTGAAACAATAAATATATAAAAATTTAGTAACTGACACATATATGCCGCCCGCGTCTTCGTCCTCGTTAAAGTACTTTCATTTTTCGGGTTATTATACTTATAGCCAGGCAATCACAAACAAAGTGGCTATCTTTCTATAGGTAAAAGAATTTTCGAAATCAGCTCAGTAGATCCAGAGATCCCAACACAACAACCCCACAAACTTTATCTTATATATAAAATTCTCGTGTCGCGGTGTTTGTGGTTAAACTCCTCCGAAACGGCTTTCCCGATTCTCATGAAATTTTGTGTGCATATTGGGTAGGTCTGAGAATTGGACATCAATTTTTCATCCCCCTAAGTGTTAAGGGTAATCCACCCCTAAATTTTTATTTTCAAGTTTAGATATTTCTTTTTTAATTTTTTTATGATACAGCATTAGTAAATACATATAACTCTGAATTTTCAACCCTTTACAATCAACCCCTATTTTTTTATGGCGATACGAAATTCGCTGGGACAGCTAGTCTCTCTATAATATTAAGCATAGATTACTTGCTCATTATTATACTTTATACAATAATATATATACTAATTAATAAATTTATTGCTTATCTTCTGCATAGAGTAGTTGGTCAGACATAAAGAATTGACTGCCTTTGCAGTTGGACAGGGAATGTACAACTGTTAAACTAGGGAGATGGTTGAAAGACACAATTCAAAAGAGTGGCCAATAGTTTGCCTAGGTATTAATTGCACTATCGCTGTCGCCCTTCCTAGAGTTGTCAATAAGTGAGTAAAGGCCTCAACAGTGAATTATCACAAAATAGATAGTATAGAAATCAACCTACATACAAAGTGCGCTAGAAGAACGCACACATCTCACGGAAGATATCTCAAGACTGGTTGGGGCCAGTGAGAGTTCCACCCGCTTGCGACACGCGTCTGTGAATTCAAGTATTACGTAAGCAGATTTATTACAATTATTTACCCCCTCCTCCCCCTTGTCAGTAAAAGTAAGCAAAGCTCTTACTCCCCCCCTCATGTGCTTACGTAAACATTGATACCTACATGCATTTTTTCCTTTAATGTATTCTGTTTTTTTATTGATTCATGAGCTTTCATGAGCTTCATGAGCAGCAGTACTTAAATAGGCTTAGGATAGAGGACTTTAACACACTTATTATTCATTTAAAGAAACTTTATTGACACAGTATTCAACATAGAGTAAGGTACTATTACGAACAAAACAAACTTCTTTCGAATTTTTGGTATATGTATAGTCTTCAGTCCATGACACCCGAATCCATGATGCTGACGTAATCATCTCGATCCCCCTCCCCCCCGTGTCATTAAAAATAAGCAAAGCAAAGACCCCCCTGCCCCCCTATAGTGCTTACGTAATACTTGAACTAATGGAAAAATAGTTATTAAGTATTACTATTCAGTGAATGGTTGTTTGAATCCATATTAAACGGTATATATAGGGTGAAATTGAATGTTTCTATGAAACTTCGTGAGATTGTTGGGTTATGTGTATAGAGTATGCCTGTTTTTTTTCGGATTTTTTTGAAGTATATTTTTTTCATGTATTTATTTATAATTTGTGTATTTTTATGTCCTTTCCTCCTTTTGAGTAGTTATTCATTTTAAACAAACAAACTTACATATCCAGTGAAAAACAACTAATAAATAAGCACTTCTAAAAAACGGAAAAACATTAAAATTCCACCGCGGGTCAACGACCGACCGCGCCCGCCAGCCGTTGAGTGAATAGGTACCTAGCTCTACACAGAGCTTAGCTGACTCGTTTGATTCCACACAATACAATAAAATCGGCTTAGATGCCTTTATTGAAATTGAAATAATAAGCACAAATGTCATCTTCTCTTAAGCAGAGAAAAACTTTAAAAGTTAATAATAATTTTGTCACGATTGGAAATAGGCAAATGTTAAACAAAAATAAATACTTATTGCAGTTCAATACTTGGGTCAGAATGAAATTTATAACCAGGTATTCAAAAGTACTTACGAGACCGGCGATGTAAGTAGGTACAACGAGGAACGAGGAACATATTCATTTTTTTCACTAGAACTTTTTATCAAATCAATCACACTGGTAGTGCACAATTAGTTGTTTCTAATCAAAAAGTATTTACACTAGCAATAAAAAGAGACTTAAATTATTATCTGCAAAATTGTTGCTCTAAACCACAATTTTGCTGCAAACAAAGGTAGGCATGTTTGCGGACCTTTTTTAAAGTGTCCCTATCACTACTGACTGCACAAAATGCAACTTCTATGGTTTGGGGACTCATTCGTAAACCAAACCTACTTCGTCACACTCGCGATAGCAGTACACCATCTCTAAATATTCTTGGTTCGTATACCGAGGAATAATGAAATTATCACAGTGTATGTCACTAAGTCAAAAGATGCGCACGCTCACGCGCGATTGTTATACTTGCGACTGCGTTTTGCATGCAATCAAAGCAAACCACCGCGTGCGGGGAAGAGGGGAGGTGGGCGGAATTCACATCATCAAAGACGCCGCAACCGGCGCTAGTTGCCAGCGTGCGGCGCGCCGCTCGCCCGTACTTGCCGCAAAACAACATATTATTATGTGTGTGTGTGTGTGTGTGACTGTGGCTGTGATTAAACGTTTTGGGAATTTCATGACGTGGGCAAATCAGACACGAAGAGTTCCTTCCTTCACTAAGCTCGTAAGTTATACCGATTTGCTCTGTATGATTTTTCACAATTTTAAATAAGCCGTTTGTGCTTAAGTTTTAATTAAACGAGGCAACTAACATTAACAATAAAAAAGAAGTTCTTACACTAACTAACAGACAGGCTTTACCGATTTAAAATCGTGACAGTCATATTAACTTTATAGGATTTTTAATTGCTCTAACAGAAGATTTATTTTATTGATTAATTACCTGTGCTTATGAAATAATATTCAAAGGTATTGTGTATCAGTGAATAAATAATTATAATAAAGCATCTAAGACTATTTTATTGTAATGTTTTTAAATAGTGTGGATCAAAGCGGAGAGTAGGTAAGCGCCGAGTCATCTGTGCGTGTAATAGATACCTACACAGGCGGCCGCCGCGCCGGTCGTCGCCCCGACCGGCGCTGATCTCGACTGGAGGCATAATGAAGGCATTCATTAAGTTTCCGTTTTTTTAGTAGTGCTTATTTTAAGTTGCTTTATAACTTCTATGTAGACATGTTTAAAATGAATAATTACTCATAAGGAAGAAATGACAAAAAAATAACCAAATAAAAAATAAAAAATCGAAAAATTTTATTTTAAAAAATCCGAAAAAAATCAGGCATTATCTATACACGTAACCCAACAATCTCACGAAGTTTCATAGAAACATTCAATTTCACCCTGTATATTTGACAGTATTAAAAATAAAGTGCCAATTGTTAGCATCTGTGTTTAGAATGACTATTGGCAGGGGTTTTTACTGTCTTTTAAAAAAATATTCATAATTTTACTAAAAACCCACGAAAACGATAATAGTTTTCTTATCTATTGTCACGTGACCCAGAACGCTTGGGATTGGCGGAGCCTAAAATGACGTCACACGCAAGTAAACTTCCGGTTAAAGTGACACAGTGGCGGACTAAGCCCGTCAGAGGCCCGGGGCGGCAAAGCTGAATGAGGCCCCCCGAGGCTTTAAAAAAATGTACATTCTTATGTTTATTTTGTTAAAACCAGTCTTGTCCAATTTACCATAACTTTGTATCAGATTGTCAACTGCTACAGCCAGAGCGTCATCTGAAGCTTCTAGCATAAACTTTGTTTCAATAATTTGGAAAATATTTTTGATTTGTTTAATAAGCCCAATTCGAAAATTCTTGTATAAAGCGGTCTATGCATTCATACATTGACCGACGTATTTCTTCTTGAATTGATAATCCAGCATCATGAGCTGATTCACCCGGTATCGTTCTTTTTACCTTCACTTTTCCTGGTTTCTTTAAAGTCTTTTTTAGGATTTGATCAGGGTAACGCGGAGGTATTTGGGGGCCCCCAAGATCGGAGGCCCGGGGCGGGCCGCCCCTGCCGCCCCCCTGTTAGTCCGCCACTGAAGTGACATTACATTGTATCGTTTGACGTTTTAATAACAGTCGTGTGACGTCACACACTGGTATGAAATGTGAAGTACACATGATTTTGATTTCTGTTCTATTTTGTGATATTATTGACGAACATATAGTCCTGAGATCTTGGGTTTAACCTTACAATAGGGGCATTGACTGAATATTTGTCCTATATTTTATATAAATACACATTCAATATACCAACCTGGTGGTGGTGATCCCACTCCTTCTTGTCTTAGTTCTACCTCTAATATTTTAAGCTGATGATATTTATGCTGCATTAGTTTCATTATTTTCTTGATAAATCCCACATAATCTGAAAGTAATAAATACCCAAACATAAACAAATTGTCACTGAACCCTTGTAGCCACCGCCAGCCATATCATGACATTGTAATGTGACTTGGTTACAATAATTCATTGTTACTACAGACAAAAGTCTATATCACTAAATCTGTCTTGCCCCTGAACTATAGACTCAAAAAATCAAAATTTGTGCTATAACTCTTAATTAAATTGAAATTCATGATGAGGAAGTGGCGTTTTCATGGGGAGAAAGTGGTTAGTACGATTTGCCAAAGATCGTAGAAGCAACTTTTGCAATGGCCAGTCTTCAAATTGAAGTTTCTTTCTTCTGAAAGTTTTTATTTTGGTAGTAGAAAGACTACTTACTGTACTGTACTGCCTTCTGAGCATGTTGTGTTAACAACATTTATATGGATAAATAGAAAACATAATTTTGTTGTAAAATTTTAAATGGAATATTTGTACTATATTCATATTTAATATGTTTTGTTTTTACCTTTTGGAAAATCTTGAGGACTGACAAGTTCACGAAAAAATGCTTGAGCTTCGTAGGACCTTTCACTGGGTGGTGTTTGTGGCTTGAACCAGAACCGTAATGCACGAGCCTCCCGTGTGTGAGATCCATTGGCTACTGATACTAAGTATACCCAAAACTCCAACTGTGCATGACAAGGCTCCATAACCCCATTTTCTGCAAATATAAAAAATACCATGTTTAAGTTAAAAGAATTTGATAACAGGCAATATTGTGCTTCCTACTAATATTATGATTGAAATAGGAAATTTTTTAACTCAAACAAGTACAAACAGTTCACAATACCCCATTGCGGGGCAACTAGGTAAAGCATTGTAAGATTTATTCGCGATTAATGTGACGATTGAATATGATTTATATGACAACCTCCTTGGCCGAGTGGTTTGTACGCTGGGTTTCATGGTGTCACTGACTTGATAGTTCCCGGGTTCAAATCCCGGTGGGGGCAGATGTTTGTGTGATGAATACCAGCATTTGTACTCTAGTCATTATTGCTTAATATATATTTCCATATAAATATACTTGTAATTGTAACAGTATATGTATTCTATCCGTTACCCTAGTATCTCATAACACAAGCCCACAGTACAGTACTTTGGGCCTTGGCTAATTGGTGTGAGTGTTGGAAATTATTTATTATTATTTATATATTTATGCAAAACTTTATTTTTAACATATTTGACAACAGAAAAACTACATTTTATCTTTATTTTTATTTGCTAAAGCTGTCTTTGAAATTAAAATAAAGATATATGCTATGCAGCTATAACACTTATTTAATAAGGTGGCCTAATTTTATAAATTATATTATGACTAGCTGACCCAGCGAACTTCGTACCACCCTAAAAAAATAGGGGTTGTCCAGCAGACAAAATTGTGAATCTAAACCATTTTCAGATCCCCTTGAACACACACAAAAAATTTCATCAAAATCGGTCCAGTCGTTTAAGAGAAGTTCAGTGACATACACACTCACAGAAGAATTATATATATAAAGATTACGTGGAACTTGTGTAAAACTGTTTGTGATGAGAAAATAAAATTCATAATAATAGCAACAAACTCTAATTAGCCTGAGCCAAATTAAAGATAATGGTTATCAAGCTACATTATGTGTATGAGCATAAATATAATTTGAAACAGTTTTCCTGGAGTAGGTTTAATTAAATAGGTATTTATCCTCTAACATTGTCCAAAATATTTAAGTGACAATTAAATTTCAGTAAACAATTAATTATGTTACAATGTACCTTGATATATTTTAGTTTTATTTTTAGATGAATATGAGTGGTTGGTGAATGAAAAACAACATTAATAGAATTAAAAAGAGTAACTCTCTCTCTGGCATGATGACAAACAAGGTTTTATGGACATTTTACTTTTTTTTTACTTACCATAAACTTTTTCTTTGTTTATAATAATACCAGTGTGATCACCACCAGCAACGTGAATCTTATCACTGGCCTCAGCTTCTACAGCTTTCCTCTCAATAACTAATGTGGTAGAATTTTCAGTTTTACATTTTGGTGTCATCACCACCTTCTCTTCAATATTATTAGCCATTGTAAGGATCTTGCTAATTAACTGCCAAATGAAACACTGTTTTAAGATGATGACTCAGACAAAACAGCATAATAATAACTGTAGGTATAGCATTGGAACTACACAGAATATGATGACAACATATACCTACATAAATAGAACTTAATCAGTCGTTGAATCGAAATTATACACAAGGCAATCTTGTTTAACTTAGAAAGGTAACCGTGGACTAAATAAAGCTAGCTAGCTAAACATAAACCAGAACACCCTAGATATTTATCAACCACCTCCAACACTAAAAGATAACTTTGTACAAATTGTGATTTATAGTTTATTGAATTTCAAAACCAATAAACAAAAATAATACATATTCAATCTGGGTAAGTAATCAAATTATATCGTTTGCTAATATGGTTAAATTTGATTGCAATAAAAGTGGGTAGGTACCTAAAGTAGGTAAATAGTTATTTTATCAGCAATCAGTCACTTCATTGACATTGACGTTTAGAAGTGTCATGTACATGGACGTACTAAACAAAACACAAAGCGGCCAGAAAAAATAAAAAGTGATGCCTTTTTTATCTCTTTCTGATAGGATGACCTTGACTTTTAACTGGGAATTTAAACATTAAAACTAATAAGTTGGATTTCTATAAAATTATAAACGCAAGCCTTATTTAAACACCAAGTTACCATAATAGAATGGAAAATGGTGTCGATTCTAGCATGATTCGCTAAACCTAAACTTAAATTTGACAACAGTGTATCCTTGTCATTCTCTATACAGAATGAAAAGGAGAGACTGATGTTAAATTTAGTTTTAAGTTTAGAGAATCACGCCAGAATCGACACCAATGAATATTTTGTCTCTTAGGGTGCTTCTACACGGTGGAAGTAGCTAGAGCAAATATAGATGGGTAGCTTTCCAATAACATCATTATAGCGCATTATGCGGCATAATGCTTAACGTTGAGTGTTCCAACTACAGCAAGGCTTCGCACAATTGAGCACTCTCAAAAGCAATGCTTTCGTGCGATTGTACCAACTCAGAGACAGAAAATTAACAAGTGTTTTTTCTTTAAGTTGGCATTGATCGAAATGTTTTATTTATATGTCATCGTTAGTAATAATATTTATGGTTGAAAAATTATTAAAACTTTCGTTTCATCATAGTTTTTTTTTAAATAATCAAAGTTAATTCAAACTGTGTTAAAAATTAAATATAAATAAGGATGAAGGTACAAACACTGACTTTTTTTTTCAACACTGAACTTAGCGCACTTTGCTGGTGCATTTGAAAACTAATTCACGTTCCAATAAAGCATCAGCATAATTCGGCATTGTGCAGCACTGAGTCGCATTATGCTCTGTAATTGGAAAGCAACCTTTTTTTTCCAATTACAGTACTAAAATAAAGCGCATTATGCGGCATAATGCTTAACGTTGAATATTCCAACTACAGCAACGCTCCGCACAATCGAGCACTCTCAAAAGTAATGCTTTCGAGTGATGCGTGCAATCAAGTTGGTACGAACCAACCACAGATCACTATAAATGTCAAATGTCCATGCCATGTCAAATGAAGCAAAAATCACTTAGAAAAGGTCTCGTCGTTAAACCCATTCTATCTAATGAGATATATATATAGTCGTTGTCAGGTTGACTGGAAGAGAATGCCTATGCCATTAAGTCCGCCATTTACTGTGTTTATGGTAATAAAAGATAAATAAATAAATTAATAAATAGACTTGATATACCTGAAATTTCAAGTTAATTTTAGTTTATCAGGATCATCTCACTAAATTCATACAACTACATAAAGTAAAACTGCTGAGGAAGTATCGAAGGTACTCTTTGACTGACAATGGCAGGGAATTCTCTAATCGAGTTGTGGAAAGTTTGACACAAATGTGGCCAGGTCTGAAAATTGTGCACGGAAAACCTCGTCACAGCCAGTCACGTGCCAATCAAGACGTTCAAAGTATGCTGATGACATGGATGAAAGACGAAAACTGCGAAAAGTGGTCAGAAGGACTTAGATTTGTCCAACTTATGAAAAATAGAGCCTATCATCACGGAATTAAAAGAAGTGGGCCTACGATCTTCAACACTTCCGACTGAGACAATCGAAAATATATAAAACGATTTATTCCATGTAATCGTATCAATCGGGAAACGCAAAATTAGAATCTCAAAACAACTGAACTGAAAACCTAGTTCTGGCCGATGATAAATAGGGTACACGTAAGTTTAACCACCGGTGTGTGGATGCACCTAGTTTTAGCCGCTATAATAAAGGCTAAATCTAGTTGTAACCGAAGATAAGTAGGATACACCTAAGTTTAACCGCATTTTGCTGGCTGCTCCTAGTTGTAGCCGGCTAAAACTAGGTGTAGCCGTACTTCGACTATTAGCCGTAACATATATAAATGTAACATTTTGCTTTCATTATAAACAAACATTAGGTTCATTCTTCAAGAACTGTTCATTCAAATATCGTTCATTCTTTTAATGTCACATAATTTTATGTTGGTGTACGCTCGAACAATTGCATAGTAACATAAAAATTGTTAGCGTGTGTGCGGTTTTTTTTTTCGTGACGTAATTATTGAAGTGTGCGTTTATAGCCACAACACGCTCGTGTTTGTGAGAGTATTGCATATTTTCATTAGCTATAGTTGTGTACCTCGTCCCGTACCAAAAATGGTGAATAATTTTGTTTGGCGGCTGAACGCTATGGCATCTCCAGGTATAAATGCTCTAAGTTCCCATCTTATAGACAAATTCGATTTTGGTTCGTGATGGGTACAGTACCCCTAGCACGAACCAATATTGAATTCGTATCGTTTGTGAGTCCGAAATGTCACTGTCAAATGTGTACTTGTGTACTGATTTTCATTTCTTGATAAGTACTTTGTAGCGCTGCTGTTCAATATTCCATACAAAATTTGACATTGACATTTAACACTCGTAAACTATTCGATTAAGATAATGGTTCGTGCTAGGGGTACAGATATATATTTTTACTTGACATTGGCTGAACGCAAAAACCGTACATGCCATAAAAAGAAAAAGAAGATGAAGTAAAGTTTCCAGTGTATTAATTTTCTCTTTAAATGAATGAAGTAAAGCTTTAAAAAAAAGAGTTAAAAAGAGAGAGCTCGTAATTACAAATTTCATTAGAGAAGAACCTATTGGTGTTGTGCATTTTAGGTGTATTCCGTGAACTTTTTTGTAACACATATATTGTCAAAATGAAATCGTTAATATTTATTTTGATGTGTTTTTGGGGTTCTTTGAAAACCGAAAATGTGCTGCAAAGTGTCAGCGATGACGATATATTACAATTGATCAAAGACTACGAAAAACTTATTGTTTTCTTTAGTAAGTGACACGACCTTTACACTTTTATTAATAACTAGCGGCCTCTCGCGACTTCGTAGTTTTTTGAGAATCCCTCGGGAACATATTTTTTTTAGTTAAATCCTATCCTGTGTTTCATTCCAGGTAAGAAACTTTATGTTTGCCATATTTCATCCAAGTCCGTTCAGCCGTTTTTGCGCATACAAACTCATATTTTTAATATGAGTAGCCTGAAAGTGAAAGCCTTTTAACTAAAAATTCGCAAAATAATTATATGCTACACTCAATTTGCTGACACAAATCAACAAACTAAAGTTATTTTTTCATTTTCTTGAAGGAACTGCATGCAAAACTAATAATTTATATTTTATTTTCAGCTAAATTAGACTGTGATATTTGTAATAAGTTCGAAAATCATTTAGACAGTCTACAAGATGATTTTGAAAAGCATCTGAATGCACCTACTGTAAAAGCAGTGAACAGTCATTTAGCTAAGCTCTACAGTCCCAGTAAGGAACCAGCTATAGTGTTTTTCAGACATGGAATACCCATGTTGTATAATGGTGCGGATTTTACTACTTTTATTTTTAACCATAAATACTTAATGATTTTGGTTGATGACTTACAAATTCTTTTCAAGTTCTACCATCCTTGTAAGATGAGACTGCATTTTAATTGTTGATATTTTTTTAATTTTAGGTGAAGCAGATGAGACTGACATTTACACATTTTTAGAAACTAATCAGTCACCTGCAGTTAAAGAACTAACAGATAAAATATTTGAACATATAACACAAGCTGCCACAGGCGCTACAACTGGGGATTGGTTTGTCATGTTGTAAGTAAATGTTTTATTATCCTTTTTATGTATTCAGTATAGAATGCCCTTCTTAATATTACTATGTTCATATCATATATGATAAGTTTGATCATCAAGTGCGGTGAAATAAATTTGAAGAAGCAGGTTTGGCAGTAAGTGGGTAAAGTTAAATTTCAGCTGGCCTAGCACACCTCATACAAAAATAAACTACATTTATTGAAAACTAAACATGGACTTGTACAAATTCTTAACTAATGCTGGAAGTCAAATAAATTGAAACAAAATCAGTACATATTATGCTGATCTAATACAAAGAAGTTTATATTGATTTATTTATGTTGACTTTGTATAATAAATATGCTTTCATTTTTTAAGCTATGGTGCCTCTTGTGTGGAATGCCAAAGGTTACATGCAGTTTGGGAAGGAGTGGGAGCAACATTAAGAGGACGAATCAATGTGGCCCGTATGGATGCTAATTTGGCAGGAGTCAACACTGCTAAGAGATTTAAAGTTACAAAACTGCCAACTTTCCTCTTGTATGTTGCAAGTATTTCCTGTTATTTAACAAGCTTTTTTCTATGAATATCAGCTGTTTATACTTAATTTTGCACATTTAATTATCAAGTAAATAAAACTTAAAAAAATATGTTTTTACAATTAGGTTTAAGTTTCTTTTTGAGTCTTAAAGAAGCTCAATAATTTTATTAGTGTACTAAGAATTTTTAATTACAAAGTATTTGGTTTCTATAAAATATGAATCACAAAATATTTGAATTACAGTTTCCGCCTGGGTAAAGTTTATAAATATGATTTGCCAAAAACTGATATAAAATCATTTGTATCATTTGCTCAAGATTGGTACAAAAATGCTAAAGGTGACAAAGTGCCATTACTATCTTCACCATTGTAAGTATAAAATGTGCTTCTTTAGAAATTAGTATTCTCTGTATTGGACAATAAGTTTTAATTATGATTTATTTATTTACAGTGATGAAATTGTTGACTGGTGTGTTGAAATGATTAGATTTGGAGTAGAAGTAGGCTTAGACATACTGGCAAAGTATCCCTGGCTGTGGCAAATAGGACTTGGTGGATTTGGTTTAGTTGCCATCACTGCACTCATTGCTTTGCTCAAAGCAGGTCGATCTAAACCTGTTAAAGATACCAAGAAAGAAAAGAAGAGTAAATAATATTAATATGCAGTTATTTAAGAGATAAGTCGGAAGTGATGCATTTATATTTAATTATTCTTTCTAAAAGTTGTACTGAAAGTTATGATGATAGTATTGTGATTTCAAATGGCCGATTTTTCATGAACTTATCTGTCCGATAAATTATTCCTTGGTCAACTTGAACTACTCTTCATACTGTTCATATATACGAAGGCAAATGAATAAATTATGTGTAAAAATTCTAACAAGAAGGATAAATTTGTGGCTTTTGTTAGTCAAACATAAGGACTCACTGAATGTGGGCTCTCGGATGAAACACCTGAATTTTCATATTACTGTATCTGACCAATTAAACTTCACTTACAAAAATTTGAACTTTGTTGAGTGACTATTAATAAAAAAAAATTCAATCAGTTGGTGGACCCTCCGTTCTTACGTGTTCAAAATTTACTTTACTGCTTCAAATTTGTAGTTAAAGCTTACTTTTGGCAAACTATGATTGTTGTTTGCTTCTTATGATTGTAATAACAAATTTTATTTGATATTCGCTGATTGTGATTTTCTTTATTTATTGATCTCTAGACATCAGATTATATGCACTTACAAAGAGCCTAAATATGCATTAAAAACCCTTAAAAGGGCCAAAATATGCATTTTTTTACATTCATAATTTTATTTATGTATTAATTTATAGTCAGGGAACGTAGATAACCTACGATAAGATATATAAGATACCTTAAAGTCTAACATATATTTATTTTTATATACAGATTATAATGTGCTTATGGAGGTGTTTGGCGAAAAATGTATGGTAATAGACTTTATGATGTCGCCTACCATCTATAATAATTGTCTGAGCACATTTGCACCTAGTGAAAATGATAATATAGGTGTGGATATTAATACCACAAATTATTATTTCAATATTTATGTGTATACTAGCTGACCCAGCGAACTTCGTACCGCCCAAAAAAATAGGGGTTGTCCAGCGGACAAAATTGTGAATCTAAACCATTCTCAGATCCCCTTGAACACACACAAAAAATTTCATCAAAATCGGTCCAGTCGTTTAAGAGAAGTTCAGTGACATACACACTCACAGAAGAATTATATATATAAAGATTTAGCTTTATACCGCCGTTCGCCTTTTTCTTTTTTCCCAAAGGTTGACTGGGAGAGAATGCTATTAGCATTAAGTCCGCCTTTTGTACCATTGTTTTGTATTTTGGTCAATAAAATTTAAAATAAATAAATAAATAATAAAAAAAATATTTATTTTATCGATCTTTACAAAATAGATTTGTTTTTATGTTATATAAACAACTTCGATCAGTCTTAAATAATTTGTATGTTTTCCAAACCGGTAAAATTAAAAGTCCTTTCTAAAGTAAATATATTATACAAAGGCACGGTAATATCATCATACAGTATTCTATCTTCATACAAACGGTCGGAAAGCGAGTCATACCTACGCCACTCGAGTTCGATGTGCTCTCGGCGGGCACCCAGTCGCGAATGCGCCGCCGCGCCGCAACGACGACCGAACGGTCTGAATTGTTTTTTATGCAGTTAGCCGTGCTTAAACGTGCGTTTTGTATTGTAAATATTTGATTTAATTAAGTAGATACCTACATAATTTAGTATGGAAAAGAACAAACGACGGTCAATATCATACAACAGCACAATTGCTGTTTTTGGTTGCTTGAACTCTTCAATAACACACCCAGAGATATCATTTTTTAAATTACCTGAAATATTGTAAAGGTGTTTTACCTTTATAGAATATTTTTTATATACCTATCTACTAGTACGTAATTTGTTTCTAATATTTAGGTATTTCGGTTTTTCCATAGGGCAAAATATCTGGAATAATATGTAAATAAGTGGTTAGGATAAAAAAAGAGACAAACGAGTAATCTACCTACACTCGCGTTAAAAACAAAACTACATAAAATACTGTAGGCGGGGCGGCCCTTCCGCGTGCTAACGCAGCTCAGCGCTCGGCCGTAGGTAGGCATTTATTTTCAAGGACAGGGCGGAGTCACAATACTGTACAGATAATATTACCGTGACAAAGGTGTCCGTTGAAATCTAATGACTGTAAATTAAATTATAAATTACGCCAAGAATTACCGTGTATGTCAATATTTTTTGTGCATTTGGGCCAATTTGAGCAATCTCCTTTAACATCAGTCTCTCCTTTTCAATCTGTATAGAGAATGACAGGGATGCACTGTTGTCAAATTTAAGTTTAGCTTTAGAGAATCATGCCAGAATCGACATCATTATCTAATTAATTAAACTTTCGGAATTATTCGACATTTGAATTGTATTGCTGGTTAAAGTTTGTTAGTAATAAAAAGTCTGACTCTAGAAGATATGGGGATTGGTTCATACAAAAACCATATAATCAATCTCTGTGAAAAAAAACAGAATTTAGCCCATGATTATGTAAATACTAACCAAATAAAAATAATAACAATGGCCTATTGAATAATATAAATGAAATTTTATTAAAATTGGAAGCTAAGCCAAGCAATTTTTTTTGCTTATAGTGAGATTGTACTTCATTGATATTTGGTCGAAATATAGAAATTTTTAAAATCTTCTATTTAAAAAGTAATATTATTATTAGTATATTAATATATGTATATATTTAATAATATTGTTAGAGGAACACATGTTAAACATATGATAATTAATTATGAATAGATATATACTTGATGTACTGACATTGAATTTCAGTATCTAATAAGAAGATGAAGTACCTATTAACCATGAACAGCTTTTATCCTTTTAATAGGGATAATTATAGGATGATGATATTTATTAAGATGGATAGTTTATCAAAATTATAAATAATGGAATTCCGTCCATTTGACGTAAGTTAATTAAATCTAAGTAAGAAAACTAATAAGGTTTTTGATTTTCACCTGATTAATGCAGCAAATCGCAATACAGTTGAAATGAGATTTTGTTTTTTATAAGTAGGTACATACTATAAATTGCAATGTTTATCATTTTTTTCTGTTTAGTTTTTTTTATTATTTAAACAAAAATAATGTTTGAGTATATAAATCCTAATCAAATAGGTAATGTTTTTTCTAATGAGGTACATTAGATTTTATACATTACATCACATACATTCTCACATACATTAAATTTTACCTAAATTCAAAGTTACCTGAGTGTATCGGAGGAACAAATGATGAGAACAAATGAGAACAAATGGAGGAAATATTCCTATTTCCTCCATTTGTTCTCAATTAATATCAACCAACAAAATACTGTTTTTTAAACTCCGCACAAATCTCCCTATTTTATAATTTTACAGCTATCAATTCTAGTCAACAATCCGTCTCTTTTCCAAATTAGGTACCTAATAACCTGCCAGTAAACACCAAAAAGATCCGATCACTACAATACCTACCATTTAATACTCTCGTAAATTATTTCATAATGATATTTCATCTAATTCAATAATGTATGTAGTTTAGTTATTCAATAATGTATGTAGTTAAGTAAGTAGATAGTCTAGTCTAGGAAACTACCTACCTATTATGTAGTTTTGTTTTTAACGCGAGCGTAGGTAGATCATTCGTTTGCCCCTTTTTTTACCCTATCAACTTATTTTTATATTATTCCAGATATTTTGCCCGATGGAAAAATCGAAATACCTAAATATTTAATAAAAAATACGTACTAGTAGATAGGTATATAAAAAAAAATGGGTGCGTGTACTTATCTAGGCGCGTGAGAAGTTATCCTTCTTTGGCATCGTTTAAAATTAATAAAAAGTCTGGAAAAGGACACAGTCAATAAAGTTCAGTTTTAATTTGAAAAAATAAATAAATAATCAAAATATTCAATTAAAATCGCTACTGAATATAATTTATTAGAACATATGTGATTTGCACTTGTATGAAACTCAAACACGTATTCCGAATATACAAACTAGAAACATGTGGATAAATATTATAAATATGAATACCTATAACTGTTACTTTATTACAAAAAATAAAGATGTGGTTTTTGGTTCTACTACACCAATGGTCAAGAGATGGCGCTGTAGTCTCCTGAATCGCGCTTTGGTTCCGTTGTTCCAGATTAATAAATACTTTTGATATTATAAATATGAATACCTATAACTGTTACTTTATTACAAAAAATAAAGATGTGGTTTTTGGTTCTACTACACCAATGGTCAAGAGATGGCGCTGTAGTCTCCTGAATCGCGCTTTGGTTCCGTTGTTCCAGATTAATAAATACTTTTGATAGGCCTTCACAATGCAGTCGTTAGCACCCACTAAATAGAGATTCTATTTCTATTTTGTTGGTAGATTTTCTTAATGTGCGGTAAACACAAAAGTAACAGCATGAAGTTGTGCCAGTAAATTAAAAAAAAAAGCATGAAGTTGGTCGCTAACTGTTAATTTTTGTGTTACAGTGATGCGCGCGCATCTTAAAATTTCACTCTCATCATTTTTTCATAACGCGCCTAAATATTCTAAGAGCCAGTGATCCGCAGACTTACGGTATAGTACCAAACTTCATATTAATGCTAGTTTTACTAATTCATCTGCCGTAGATCCAATGTTGGTCACTATTCCCATAGAGGGTTCCTTTTGCCGAGAAATCGAAAAGCATGAAAATCGACTTTCAATAACGTGATCGCAGCATGTCTGCCGTTTTGATATCTTAAAATATTTATTTTTATAAATAGAAAAACTTAATGGCAGACACTTGTTGCGGTTCCTTCTATATTTTATAATATATCATAGTTTCCAAAATTTCATAAAATTTACGTTATTTTAGCAAAGCTAAAAATGATATATGTTATTTATATTATTATTATACATGTATATCTAAAAAGCCAGACAGATAGGTCGGTTCTAAAATACAGGCAGACAACATATTAGTTTCGCAGTCATGCTAATGGAAATATACGATATTGACTTTCTCTCTCTTCATTTCGCAGGGAACTAGTGTTTCAGCAAAGCTACAATTTATGTATGTTTTTTACATCATTATTATACATGTATATCTAAAAACCCAGACAGATAGGTCGGTTCTAAAATGCAGGCAGACTACATAATAGTTTCGCAGTCATGCTAATGGAGATACACGATATTGACTTTCTCATTCTTACTGGCAATGGCAGCGAATCAGTATGAATACATGTGAACAGTGTTTTGTTAATTTTATAATTTAGAACTCTTATTTTCAATCATAAATATAGTTTTTATTGGGAAATCAATAATTTTTTTTCACTTACAATAATTTTGCTATTTATTTTGTTTTAGCACAACGAACAACTCTTAATTCAAATACAGAATAAATAAAATTA